TTTTTTTTTTTTAAATTTAACCCCATTTCTATGGAAACCTGAAGATGCCTCATGCATTGTCTTTCAGTTTTCTGAAGAAAAATAACTTTCATTATTTTGGCATGAAACACCCTAGAATGCCCTATGTCAAGAATAATTAGAATTTCACTTTTCAGTGTCTCTCCTGCAGTATATTGACTATCTTAAGGAACCTTGTTGTCTGGTGCCTGATAAATGTGTTCTTGAGAGTATGAACTGAAGCGAATCTGAACCAAACCGGTTAGAGATGTCCATGTGAAAGTCTAAATAAAGGTGCAGAAATATACATATTGAGACATTCAAAAAAAAAAAAATAAGATCTTAAAACATACACACACTTTAGATTCAAAGATTGAAGTAGATTAAAAGCAAAAGGATAGGGAGATATCCCATGCAGACAAGTAACAAAAAGAGGGCTGGAGCAGCTATACTAACATCAGACAAAATATACTTTAAAAGAAAAATGGTTGGGGCACCCGCATGGTTCATCATTTAAGTGTCTGCCCTCGGCTCGGGTCACGATCCCGGGGTCCTAGGATCAAGCCCCACATTGGGCTTCCTGGTCAGCTGCCCCTCTGCCTGCAGCTCCCCCTGCTTGTGTGTGCGCTCTCTCTCTGTCAAATAAATAAATAAAATCTTTAAAAAAAAGAAAAGAATTGTTGCGGGAGACAAAGAACATTTTACAGTGGTAAAAAGGTCACGAGCACCTGGCTGACTTGGTCAGATCATGTAACTCTTGATCTTGGGGTTGTAGTTCCAAGCCCCACATTTGTTGTAGAGATTACTTTTTAAAAATAAAGTAAACTAAACCACGTTGCTATAAGGCTTTTTCCTTATGTTGTTTATACTGCAGGATTTGAGTTGGATTATTTCATTCCAGTTGAGCATGAAATAGTACAGTTATAACCTGGAGCTGTCTGTTTCCCAAATACAGGAAATCCTTTTTGTGAACATAGGTATTTTCTTGTTTGGTATGATTCATCTTTATTTGGTCCTTTAGAAGGCTCAGGGGAACTTTCAGACCGTAGAGGATTAGGACAGTGGCCTTGTACTATGATTTTTCTTAGGTACATATTGGTAGTAAAGGCAAGGTCCACTCATAAAATGGCTCTCTTCAAGGAAAGCAGACTTTTTAGGGGAAGGAGTTAGAAAATAAAGTGTATGAATATGCGTGTCAAGACAAGTGAGATAGTATAGACATTCATGAAGACACCAGTTTTATAGCAGGACAGGACAGAGCTCCAGGGAGTAAAAATCAGATTAGGTTGAACTGCAGAGCTATTTGTATATATGTGAATCATCTGACTGATGAGCTTGAGATTCTTTTCCTTTCCAGTAATTTGCTTTGGTAGAAGTAATGTTTTTCCCAATGGGCCCTGCCACTATTGACTGATCTAATTACAGACAGCAGCTTCCCATTTCCTTTGACACAGCCAAGCAAATAGAATAAGATTAGCACACAGAGATGGGTGAATAGTTTGGTGTGTGAATTTACTTCTGCTGATACATTTGGGAGAGGGCTAATAAAATTGCTTCTACTCTCTAGTTCTTTTTTGTTTCCCATCTACTACGTCCTTGTATCATAAGGATTTGTAGGTTCAAGTGAAAAACATTCAGTGTATCTGTCATATTTATGTTGTTCACTCTGCCATTCTGAAATCACTGGAGAGAAATTGGCTTTTCACTTGTAGATTGTCTTTTTTGTCCAAAATGATAATTTTCTCACGAGTAATAAAGTATCTGTTAGAGTAGCGTGCTTCTCAAACTTTAATGTGCGTACGTACACCCGTGGGTCTTGTTTAAGTGCAGTTCTATAGATTTAGGTCGGGCTATGTTTTCTGCATTTCTGACAAACTCCCATGTGATAGTGATGCTGCTGGTCCAGGACCATGTGTCGAATAGCAAGACATTAGAATGCTGTATTGGTAAAAGTAAATAAGTAAACTTTCTCTCTCCAGTCAGATCAAGGCAGTGCAGGAAATACCAGTCTTTAGTTGGGAACAGTGATGTTCTGCCACTGGGTTAAGTTTATAACTATTCCCTATAGATTACAAGTTTCTCTGTCCTTTGTCGTGGACATCGACTGTTGCCTTCCTCGTTTAGTCCTCAGACTAACTGGAGGAATGGAAGAGGAAGGTCTTAGTAGCCGCTTCTTGCAGCCGACCAGTTTGTCACGGGTGTAGCGTCACACAGGCGCACACACCCGCATTTCCTGGCTGCTGTCTGGGGAAATGTAGTTCTATGCCAGGTCTTTACTCCCAGATCATCTGAGTAGTCTTAAGGTACCGTTTAACAAATACGCGCGCTAGACTCTGGAGCCGTCTGAGAATATGAGCGGGGTTTGTGCTGCTTCACCCCTTGCTCTGTGTGTACAGCTTTCCATTGGCGGCATCATCATCCTGAAGGACACCAGTGAAGACACAGAGGAACTGGTTGAACCGGTGGCAGCCCATGGCCCAAAAATCGAGGAAGAAGAACAAGAGCCAGAACCTCCAGAACCATTTGAGTATATCGATGATTAAGGACCAGAGGTATGTGCGAAATAAAATTGTTTATCAAAGGAATTCTGTTGGTCAGTACATCTTAAATGTTTTCGGCAGAGACATCGTGTCACTTTTTCCATTCCTTTTGTGCTTAATCTCTATTTACCTAAATGGTGTTAGAATTTCCCCTCTTTTTGACTTCTTCAGCATACATAACCTCCAGTTCCTTTTTCTTTCTCCTTTGACTCTCTACCCTCTAGTGTTTGACCAGTACTATTCAGAGCGGTTTAAACTGTTCTCATAGGTCCGTGAGAGAGTAGAGAGCTTGCTCCAAAATGTCAATCTGCTCAATACTTCTTTTATTGAAAAATTCTTGCTTACTCCTTACTCCCAAGAAAGTCAACTGAATGACAGTTTGCTCATGATAGAGTTGATTTACACTTTGATGTGAGCCCCTTGTTACAGATCAGTTAGAGTTTATGGCCAGCACTGCTCCATGGATCACTGATCCGTCTCTCTCTCCCCCTTTCCTTTGGTGATACTTTTGGTACTAAAAGCCTTAATATTCATTTACTCACTGAAGCTATATCGAACATCTAATGTGTATAAGACATGGTGCTTAAAAGTACTTCAGAGTCAGTTTAGACCATATAACAAAGCTTCACCCAGTTGAAAAAAATGATGCCAGTGTTCTAACAGTGTTGAAGTAGGTCTTTAGATGCAAAAAATTAGAATAATGTTATGAAATTGTCATCACATATTTGAAGATGCATATAAACTATTAATCAAGGTTTTCTCACTCTAGTACAGATACATTGTCAGACAATAAGAATTTATCCTTTTCTTCTATCCTTTTCTTCTACTTAAATGCCAGGCTGTAAATCTAGCACCATGAGACCATGAGTGTTACACAGTGACTAGCAATTAATGAAAGCTTTTACAGAAATCTCAGATAAATATTAAGGCAGAAACCCTGCCATTAGTAGGAAAATATATTCAAGCCCCCAAAAGTGTTTGGACCTTTGATGGAGAGAGGGAGATTTATACTAACTTCCTGTCTATGTAAAATTGCTTTGAAAATTATCTTTGGGCCTTTGATGGTTTCCTAAGCTTTACCCAACCAGCGCATGGCGGCATTGATACCATAAGCACTCAGTCTCTGTGTGGAACTGAACAGACTCACATTAGCCCCCTCAAGCCTTTGGCCACACATTACTGAAAACCCCCTGATTAAGTCTTTCAAGGCAATTAACTACAAGATGGCTTAGAAGTTTTTAATTAGAAATTAGATTTTTTTTAAGTAAACTCTAAACCCAGTGGGGACTCAAACTCACAACCCTGAGATTGAGTCACATGCTCTACCAACTGAGCCAACCAGGCGTCCCAGAAATTGGATTCCTATTTTCAAAAGGATAAAATATTCAGTCTAGTAGGAGTGTAAAAACTGTAGTCCATCTTACCACAACACTGGTGTGTTAGGACTGCGTAGGCAGGGTTAGGGGCTAGTTTTAGACATCGACAGCTCATGGTAAAAAATTTTCTTTTAAACAAAGGATGACCCTAGTTTTTCCCCCTTCCCACTTCCTTAGGATCTCATTGCTCATCTGAAGATGGTTGTCCAGGCCTGTATTGGAGATGTTTGTGAAGAAATCCATGCTGAGACCTGCTACTCACTGCATGTACCATTGCCTTTGCGCTGACCCGAAGAACCTTGTCTCCAAGTCTTTGGTGAAGAGAAGATATATGACTGTTTAGTGTGCTCTTTCACAGAACTTGGTTTTCAAATAAATATATTAAAATCTCCAGATGGACAAGGACTTTTTAATTTGTTTTTCAGCCTCGATTTTAAATAAATGGACCTAATACCCTTCCCCCCCTCCACCATGAAATGCCTAAACCCGGAGAGCTAAATCCTTAATTGCTGGGATGAGGATGCATGATTTTCATATTGATGAAAGAGTTAAACTAGTTCATAGATTATTTGAAAAATAATGGAAAAAAATAAGAAAAAAATCAATCCTTGTTCTTCACTCCAAGAATTCTCTCCAGTTTTTTTAAATCAAGATTGAGGGCATAGGGTACTGTCATTTACTGAAGAAGTCCCTTTAGTGGTCCATGGGAAATATCTGTTTAGGCAGCTCAGAAGCATTATTTAAGAATAAGCTTTGCCTGTTGTTTCCTGCCTTTGACCCTGTTGAGGACAACAGATACAAAATCATTTAGCCACAGGATTTAATAATGTATTCTTTTTATCCTCTCTTCCTACCCTTTTTTGCCATGTGCTGCTTAATTTAAGGTATAATTTAAATATAATAATGCAAAAATTTAAAGTCTATACAATTTGATGAGTTTTGACAAGTACAATTTTGATTTCTATATTATCAGGCCTTAGATGTTGGGCTCTTGAAATAAGCAGATAAGGTCATTATTCTGACAACCACCCCTTCTCATGTTCATGGCATATGAAAGGGGACCTCTGATACACTAGGACATAGCAATAAGAGCTAGATTTGGTGGGGTTTTTTGTTTTGGACTTCAATCATGTAAAATAAAAGTAGGTTATTTCCAGCATTTATATATGAATGGTTCTTCATTCCGACCTTGATCCTTCTACTTTTTAATTTAGGATATAGCCTTCTGAGTCTGGGGGGGG